AAATAGAGCAAAACTCCTTCCAAATCTTTAATAAATGCGGTTCGGTAATTTCTGAATCCCAATCTAACTTTAACAACCAAGCTTTTGTATTAAAATCTTTCCTCTAACGATAAATGGTGACAATAATCCCGTGTCAAAACATTGAGCAACCAACGACAGAATTTTTCTTTTCGTGATTGGCCCGGTTTTGTTAATTACCGGTACGACAAAGCTTAAGGAATCACTAACGGAATTCTATCTTAAACCAAGAACTTTATTGGAGTGTTCTTTTGATAAATCTACATCTTGTAATTCCGAATTTTTGTGCACGATTTTGATAATTTTTGGATATTTCGGTTGAATTTGAAACAACTTTATGTAATGTAAATCCAGATTTGTTGAGCACTGTGTTCAAGTCAATATTTAGTTTATTTAATTCCCCTATGGTATCACATCCAGCTATGATGTCATCCATATACGTTTGTTGTGTTAACATGAGCGACACTATTGGATAATTATCTTTATTTTTATTTGCGATATCTTTCAGTACTCTCGTAGCCAAAAGGGAGCACAGTTCGTGCCAAAAGTTAATCTTTGCATCTCTATACATGACAGCTGCTCTCCGACATTATTTCTCCACAATATATTTAACAAAAATCTGTGATTTGGATTTATTTGTATCTGCCTAAACATTTTTTCAACGTCCCCTACTAAGACAAATTTGAAGGTTCGAAATCTCAATAAAATATCGTACAAATTAGGTTGCACCTGATATCCTTTTAGCATGGTATCATTAAGTGACAGACCGGTAGTGGTTTTTCCCACTTGCATCAAAAACAATCCTAACTTTAGTCGAAAGACTCTCTTCTCGAATCACTGCGAAATAAGGTAAAAGTATTTATTCAAATTATTATTAAATCTTTCCAATGGAATTACTTTGGCGTGATTTAGTTGTAAATATTCTTCTATTAACCGATTTATATTCGGCAAAGTGAACTTTATTTTTACCCAGTTTCTTCTCGAGATTGAAGAAACGGTTCCTAGTCATAGCTAGCGAATCTCCTAACTGTTCAAAATAGTTGTTAGTCCGAAACGGCATATCTACTTGATTATCTTCCGTCCGGAAGTATAACCGTGCTATCTACAAAAATTTGCTCGGCCATTAACTCATCTGAGTTTAAACTTTGCTTTCCTTTCGGTATGTCCTCTGAGTACCAGAACTTTTCTATAACGTCTTCTAGAGCTTGCGAATTTCCCGAAGAGATACACAGCGGAAACACACGGCGCTGTATCTTCGCTTGTGTGATGAGATTCTTGTGAGCTTGATTCAAAACACGCGTGGAATTGAATGTTTTTCCTTTTGTAAAGGACTTTTTACGAACGAATTTGGTATTGTACCGGCTACTATCCACCCCATTCGAGAGTTTTGAAGCGTAGGCATATTTTTACCTAAAATGATGCATACCCTCAAGTAATAATTTGTAACAATAGTCTGCTCCAATTAACAACTCTATATCTGACTTTACGTAATAGCGACGATCTGCTAAAACAAATTCCGATGGAATGCTAAATTTTTCTACGTCGATGTCAAACTGAGGTAATTGACAAGTTATTTGATCCAAAATACCACAAGACATTTTCAATTTTTCCGAATTATTCAATGAGTTTTATTGAGACCTTGCTACGCTAATCCCGATTCCGGTAATAAAGGAATTACTTTCTCTTGCAGGGTATTGTAATCTTTTTGCAAGACCTGCCGTAATAAATGATAGCTGACTTCCAGGATCAATTAGCGCTTTTACGATTATCTTACGACCATATTTGGAATACAAATAAACGCTGAGAGTTTCAAGTAATACTTTATTGTCAATATAAGTCGATGAAAGAGCTGTCAGCATAGAAGCGCCTTCTTGGAACCCGGCGGACAAAGTATTTGGCGAATCAGAGTTATTTAGTATGACCGGTTCACACACTGGTGACGAAAAATGTAAAAGTGTATTATGCTTTTGTTTGCAAACGAAACACGGATGCTTATTCTTACAGGAAGCTACAAAATGACTTCCAAAGCAATTTACACACAGTTTTTTTGTTTTGATGAAATTAAATCTTTCTGATACAGATAAATTCTTAAATTTTTTACATTGAAATAACAAATGATTTTGTAACGAACAGAAATTACAGAATATTTTGGCATCTGTGCCAGTTGCAACAGTTGCAATAATTGCAATAAGAGCCCCGACCAAGATACCTCTACCAGACTGAAGCCCGAGCCTAGTACCGTTCTTTGTGTAACCTCTAATCTGTCCTCAAAGAGGGTACATTAGATAATAAAATTGGATTCGCAATAAGCATAATATATAGGAAATTGCATAGCTAGTAGTTACCACAAACGATAGTGGATATGAAGCTTAATCAGAAAAGAGACAAAAGATAAATTAAAGCGGTCAAAAGGAGAATGGAGACCTAAAAAAGCAAAAGAAACAAAGTCTAAAAGAAAAATAAACAGATTACATGGAGATAACGGAATATGTTGAAGACGCTGGAAAACATACATCTATGATAGGTGATTACTGTGTTAAATTTCTAAATATCAGCTTTTGTTCATCAGATATAGCTCATCGTAAGTTTTAAAATTGACACGCTCTATATAGTTTTTAATAAAAAGTAGTACCTTACATATTGTGTTAAACTCCAATACTTAAGTGGCCAATCACTGTAACCTTTTCCCTTTTACTTTTTCTCATCATTAGCATATATCATGATACGCAGAATCATCAAAAAATAATTTTTTTAAATAAATATTATTTTTTTATTCATTTTGTTTCAGTTATTGGAAACTTTTAACTATTTATTAATAATTGTCTTTTTGATCAATTTTTAATTTTTTGTTTTTAATTTATAGCTACGTAGAGAGCTATGTTCATTTTAACTAAAAAATAATTATAAAATGAATCTAAATTTTAGGGGGATTGGGAGGTGAAAAAGATAGATGGACTACGGCAGCTGAAGTACTTCAAGTACAGTATGACGGTTTAGCTGGAGATATTTTGTTATCTTGTGGAATTATATCGTATCTCTCGCCGTTTAATAGTACTTTTCGAGTAATGTTAATGAAAACATGGCATCAGTATGTTAAATCATTAGGTATACCAACGGCTGAAGTTTTTGACATGGCTACAGTCTTAGGGTCAGACGTCACTATTCAGAATTGGAATATAAACGGGCTCCCTAGGGATATGTTTTCAACAGAAAATGGTAAGCATTATATTTAGGATTATATAGTAATTATTGGTTAGTTGTATTGTTTATTATTTAATATATAAGTATGAGACAATAGAAATATATACAAAGTCGCTGTTTAGCGCTAGGATAAAAAATATTAGATTAGAGTAATTTTCAAGAAATAAATTGTACAAAATTTAAGTCGGTATGTTTAAAGACTTATAAACATAGATTAGAATAGCAGAACATCATAGAAAATGATCAACCTTTTCACGTTTTTTGATATTTATGGTACTTGCAATTGTTCACTCCCAACATAGTGTGTAATAATATTAATGCACAGAATTACGAAAATCGTCACTATACAATAGGTAATTTTATTAAAATTGAGTTTGATTGAGTTTAAATTTAAGAACAAAGTCCCTATAATACTGTCGGAAGCTTCGTGAATATAAGAGTTCCACCAAAATATCACTTTACTGTCTGCAGAATTGGTAATTCCTGATTTACAAATGAATGCTCAGTGTGACTATCCAGAACAAATCCGCTTCTTAATCAAACCGTTCTCTGACAATGAACTTTACTTTGTGTTAGAAAATTAAAATTCAGTGCCAGGTGCTGATGATATCCATTACTTGATGCTATTAAATTTTTCAAAAATTAGTAAGACTGCGCTTCTGAATATATAAATGAAATTTGGTCACGCCACGATGGCACTGACGATTGGCACGCTAATACTATTCTTTCGATCTTAAAACCAAAAAAGTTGTTAAAGAATTTTGATTCTTACCATCCAATCGGTCTGGCTGCATGTATGCTTAAAACATATTTTTGAGAGACTCATTAAAAAACTTCTGTAATTTTGGCTATAAAAGAACGATCTATTACCAAAAACTTAGTTTGGATTAAGAAAAAGTAAATCCACATAAGAAAGCCTCAGCTACTTTTTGATAGACATTTATAGTCTCTTTACTTATTAAAAGCAGTAACTGCTTTATTTTTAGATATAAAAGAGGTTTATGCCAATGTTAATCTGCACATTCTATATGCTAAAAGGTTAGAAATAAGAATAGCTAAAACTGTAACATGAAACATCATTAACTGGTAGACTAATCGATTAGTATACGTTAGATTAAACGGAGATAAATCTAACACCCGGAACACATCTTTGGAATCACTATAAGGTAGCATCTTGAGTCATATATTATATATACTGGGTACTGTTGACTTAGAAAATAAACTTAGACATCTTACAGTATGCTGAGGATGTAATCTATATAGAACATAACTCAATAGATAACTGTAATAATTACCTTAAATCAGCATTGAATATAATAAAAAAACGTGAACAACCATTGTTACTTTCACCAGAAAACGATATTCTTCTCCAAACCATCTACAATTTGATTATTATAATATTCTTTATAAAACTTTAATCAAATCTCTTGGCGTATTCTGAGACTTTAAATTAAATTGAAAAGAATACACAAATTACATATTATGACGAACGGAAAATGCAATGAATATCATCAAGTCTGTAAGTGTCATTAACTGGGGAGCTAATCCAAACATATAAATATTACTACACCAAAAATTTGATATGATCCATTTTAGATTAAGGATCTATATTTTACGTCTCATTATCAAACTCTGTACTATAAAAAATTAAAAGAATAAAAAATAAAGCACTAAGATTAAGCACTGGTTATCTTTGTAGTACACCTATGTCTGTCATTGAACGTGAGCTTAATGAATGTTTACTTTCATTACGCAGAAATTTTTAAGTGAGAAATTTATAGTTAAAGTTACGCTTAACGATAAACTGTTATTAAATGAAATTGTGCAACTAATCACTATATACCTAACTTATTGTTATTGGGAAAAATGAAGCTGCGTTAGGCTTTCACGGCTAACTTGTTAAACTGTTTTTTCGGGCTGTTAATCCGTTGTCTTTTGAGATTAGTTCTCGACGTTTCGCCAACACTGGGGTTGGCATCTTCTGGAGATGTTACTGCTTCGCTTGTAACCTGAAAACTGACGCCGCGTTCGCACCCATGCAGTGATCAACCTGCCTCTAGGAACATGTGTATACCAATCTAAGAATGGGTTCCACATGTCCGAAGATCAAACCGGTCACACCTCACTAATTGAAGTGGTACCTATCTGACCCCCAGGCTTTTCCTCCATCCCTCCTCATCGTGTGACTTACGTGAGGAGGCTTATGATCTGAAAGTTACTTAAGGTGCCCTGGGTAATGAGACACCTTCTGTTTTTATTGACTGTGGTTATGCCACCTAACTGTAGGGGTAGCCACATCTAGGCTTTTCTCCCTATTTACTTTACTGACTCGATTGATTTTACTCTGACATCACTTCGGGCTTGAGTCCTCTAAAATAAAAAAAGAAAGAGCGTGTGTTCCGTCCATGGAGCCGCCAGCCTGAGCTGGCGACTCCATGTCCGAAAAAGAGTGTGTGCTCGGTCACTCAGCCGCCGATTTGGCAAAATAAATTTTGTTCTCCTCGCCGGCTGGGCGTCCGAGAAGGGTCCGGCCACCAAGCCCATGTTTGCCGCACATGGCCTTAGTGCTCGGGTGTCGCGAAGTGGATCAGTATTCATTCGATCCGCCTTAAGGGTCTAGTCCGCATCAGCGGTATATAGAAGACCTGATGGGCCTTCTATATAGAAAAACAAAGTGAATTTATTACGTTAAAACGTTTAGTGAAAAGAATTTAAATTTTAAAATACAGAATATTAAGAGAAAACAACTTTTTTTTGGGTTTGGGGGTCTTCCTTGTGGCGTTGGGACTATAAAATGCCTGGCACAATTCTTGCCCTATTTTTCTTACATGCTAAGGTGTGTGGGTGTATTGGGGTGTGCATTCCAGGGTGTATAGGGTCTTCACACACCCCGTGTATAGTGTTCTTACCTAAGTGCCTTGGCACCTGTATCCTCTCGCCAGAATAAACCTAAAAAGGCAGATATTTTTTTGGTGGTTGTTTTCTGATGACTGCATTCTTTTTGTTTGACGTCCTTGCGACCATCTCATTCTTCATTTATTCGTTTGGGATTCCCCTATATCCGGCTATTTGCTGTTTAGGTCTTCTGTGTACCAGTCCTGGTATTTGCGTTGTAGTTAGTCAGCTCTCTTAACATACTGCTTGGGTGGTTGTTTAGTCCGTTGAATAGTTCGTATGCTAGCATGTCATGTTCGTATGTCTAGCATGTGTAGGATCCTTCTTTGTCCTGAGTCTCTGTATAAATTTCTCAGAGGTACGTATTTCGGTAGCATCAGGGCATCTCTTATTAATTGATTTTGCGCTGTCTGTATTTTCTCCTGTTTGATTTGCAGGTGTGTCCCCACGCAGCAGAGGCATATGAAAGGACTGGCAGGATGATACTGTTCGCAATCCTGATTTTGGTTTTAAATCTCAGTTTGCTTCTTCTACCAATGAGCGTTGAGAGCTGACTTTTCAGCGCTTTGGCTCTGTACGTTTGTTGATTTATATGTTGGGTGAATTTGAGTTTCTTATCGAGCAACACCCCTAGGTATTTTGCCTCGTTGGTCCAATCTACTGGGGTGTTCCCAATCGTGATTTCTCGATTTGGTACACTTCTTCTGTGACTAAACATTAAAGACTGTGTTTTGTCCGGGTTTAAGGCTATTTTCCATTTTATGCACCATCTTTGGAATCTATTCAGTGCTCTCTGCAGATAATTAGCTGCATGATCTGGATTTCTCCAGCTAACAGCTATTGCTGTGTCGTCAGCGTAAAGACTCAGCAGGGATCCTGGTTCTTTTGGCGTGTCGGCCGTGTAGATGGTGTACAGGTACGGCGATAGCACAGCTCAGTGAGGCACACCTGCCTCCAGGGTCCCGACTTCGGACAGGGTTGCCTCTATTCGAACTCTGAACCTTCTGTTGGCTAGGTATGATCCAAGAAGGCATGTCATCGCCTCGCTGTATCCCATTGAGTTCATTTTATAAATGAGTCCATCATGCCAGACCCTGTCAAATCCTTTACTGACGTCCAGAAATGCTGTTGCCGTGTACATTTTTTTTGTTAAAACCTTTTGTAGTGAATTCTGTGAAACTGTAGTACTTGTAATTCGCAGGAATGTTCGCTTCTGAACCCGAATTGAGCTTCTGGTATGGTGCCTAGTGCTTCCGATTCTTCGTTGAGTCTTTTTAATATGACTCTTTCCGCTATCTTGCTTATCGATAATAATAGGCTGATAGGTCTATAATTTTGCGGAAAAGTGCCGTTCTTCCCTGGCTTTTTAATCATGATGATTTGTGCCTCCTTCCATCTGTCTGGAAAATATCTTAACTTGAGCATGTTGTTTATATTGTTCGTAATGTAAACAATAGCTTTTGTGGGTAGATTTTTTAGTGCCTTGTTTGTGATATTGTTGGGTCCTGGGGCTTTTTTAACGTTTGTCAGCTTTATTAGTTCTTTTATTTCTTCGGGAGATGTGTGTATTATCCTTACTCTGCCCTTTCTTCTCTTTAGTCTTCTAGCTGTTCTTTCCACCTCTTCTTTGAAGTCTATGTCTTCATTGGGATGTTCATTGTTTCTACATGCCCTTTCTAATTCATCCTTTAGGACTTCAGCTTTATCTATTTCCGTATGAACAATCCCGTTTACTCCGTGTTTGGGAGATATGGGTTTCTTGTCCTGTCGGAAGATTTTCCATAATTTCCAGAAGGCGGATTTGTTGGGGTCCAGTTCTTGGATATAGGTGTCCCAGCTTTCATTTCTATGATTTTGTTTGCAATCCTTTTATCTTCTATTGTTCTAGTCTGATAAGCTCTTCTCCTTTTCCTGTTTTTTTCTTTGATTAAGTTTTGTAGCTCGTAGCTTATATCCCTAAATCTTCCTTTCTGTCTTGTGATTGTTTCGGTTTTGGAGCTGGCATCGATAGCATTAATTATTGTTTCTTCTGGTTTTGTTACACTCTCCTCTAGTTCTGTGATGTTGTTTATTGTTGTAATGCTACCGATGTTTTCGCTCACAATTCTTCTGAAGTTCGGCCAACTTGTTTTCTTTCTGTTGAGGGTCTGCAAATAGTTTAGTTCTATTGCGCCTGGGGTCAGGACGATTAGATTATGCGTCGAATCGCCTTCGTTTAGAGAATGTATCTCGTATTGTTGACCCACGTTGTGTAGGATTGCAATATCGAGATGCGTAGGGAGTTGTCCGTGAAAACAGATCGGTTCTGTAGGTCTGATCACGTAGGTGTTGGGTCTATTTTTGAGATGGCCGCAATGTCTTCTCCCGGTATTGTTGGTCGCTTATTTGAACCAGTTGGGAGATTTCGCATTCAGGTCTCCTATGATTATGGTAGGCTCTTCTGAGTCGAGGATTAGGCTCAAATCTTCGTCGAATATTGGATCGTTAGGTCTGACGTAAGCTGAACCTATTTTTAGTGTCTCATTGTTGACCTTGAGTCTTACTAGCGTGGCTTCCATTGTGACAAGTCTACCTGGTGTTGGGATATGTTCGTGTTCTATTCCTTTTTTAACTATTATGGCTGTTCCACCTGATATTGCTCTATGATCCGTTCTATAGATATCATAGCCTGGAAATTTATTTTTCTTTCTTTCCACTAATTCGGTTTCTTGAAGGGCTACGATATCGAGCTCTAATCTGTTTATTATTTCGTCCGTAGGGTTGAGTTTTTTGAAAATTCCGCCGGAATTCCAGGACCCTATGCGTAGATCTTCCGTATGGTCCAATGCCATTTCTCCGAATGCAGTCATCATTTTTGTAGCCTTGTTCATCATGGACATTATCTCCATCATTCTGTTATTATATTTCGTGTGGAAGTTGGCAATGAGTGCAGAGTTGTACCGTTTGTGTTGGTACAGGGGCCTCTTGTTCTGGGGTTTTCTTAGCTGCTTGTGCGTAGCTAACCCCTTTGCTTGTCGTCGTTGTGTTGAGTGGTCTACCCTCCGTTTTAACGGGGGCAGAGATCTTCTTTTTCGGAGCTTTGGAACATCCTCTATAATTGGCCGTATGTGCTTGCACGCAGTTGGCGCATTTTGGGGCTGTATCCTTGCTTTTTTCACACTCATTGCTTAGGTGACTTTCTCCACATTTTACACACCTAGAGGTACAATGGCAATCCTTTAAACTGTGGTAATACCCCTGATAGTTGAAGCACTGTAGGGTATCTTTTGTCATTTTGAACTCGTCTTTGAAAATGGATCCTCATGTAGCATAAGTTGGTGATACTTTTTATTTTGTTTACGTCTTCCTCTTTGAAGGTGACGGTGAAGAATCACAAGACCCTTTTTCTTCTTTTTTAGAGATCATATTACTGACTCTAATTACGTTTATATCTTTGTCTTTTAATTCGTTTAGAATTAATTCAGTACTGGTGCTCGAGGAAAGCCCTTTTAGTATTACCCTCTTTAGCTTCTCGCTATCGATTGGGTATGCGATATATTCTACTTTTTGGGATGTTCTCCTCTAGTAGCTTTACCATACCCAGGTAATCTTCCCTTGATTTGGTGTTAATGACTATCGATCTGCCTGATCTGGCAAATTTATTATCTCAAATTATACCCTGTTTGGCCGCTTTTTGCAGGATTGCTTGATGTTCTGCGACCGTTTTTAAAATGATCGCAGGAGGTTTGGTTTTTCTTACGTTGACCTCTGTGGGTATTTGAGGTCTACGGTGGTTTTTTTTATCTACTTGGGGTACTGTTGTTACCTCCAAGTTTTTTTTGGGCTGTTTTTTTGTGCTCACTTCTCTTTTGTATCTCTTTAGCAGCTACTGTGACCGCTTGGTCTTTGCGTTCGTTGATTTTTTGTGTTTGTTTTTCAACAACACTTATTGCTTTTTTTGGTTTCTCGCTACTGTTTACTACTTTCTCAGTAGTGGTGCCTTTTGTTTTTTCTTTTTTCTGGACTTTTGTCCATCCTGCTTCGTTTTTCTCTTTTACTTTTCGTTCTTGGGGCTTGCCCTTGCCCCCAGATGGCGTCAATGGAGTTGCTGTCGGTTGAACTATTACATGTGGCATGATCGGCATGGTCACGTTCCAGAGGTCGTCGTTCCTACTTTCTTCCTGCTCTTTTCTATCAATCAGTGCCATTATATGGCTGACTAGTTTCTGGATCTCCTGATCCTTTTCTTTCTGACCCTACTGCAGCTATCAGTAGTGTCTACCCACATACTCTGGATGACCTCGCCACCTAATCGGGAGACCACATATATTTAGAAGCAAGCAGCCCATCAACCAAGTCCAAGTATCATTTACATTTATTTAATGTAAAGCATTAGGCAGGGTTGTTTTTGCTATTTAAATATTATTTTTTTATTTGTTAATGATTATATGATTAGTTATATGATTAGTTAAATAATTGTTTTATTTATTACCAGCTAAGGGTTCATTGTTTAATTCGTAGTTTAAGGCAAGACGGATTTACATTTGACAGACTGAGCTATGCGAAGCATAGTGATAGCCCATGTTAACTTTAAGCATAATTATCTGTAATAAAATTTTATATTTGAGTTGACATTTCGACTTCCACTCCGGAAATCGTTATCAAAAAAATACAAATTAAATAAAATAACGTTATACACCTGTTTGTTGTGTATAGAATTTTTCATATAAAAATAATTGCACGTCATTCAAGATATACGACGTCAGAACCCCATAGCGTTGCCAAAATATCAGAATAGTTAGTAAGTGAGAAATTTTTAAAATGTCAACTATTTGTCAAACTGTTATATTACCAGTAAATACACTTAGTTTTAAAACTACTGCAAAACACTAAAAGACATAAGAAAACATACATACAAAATTATATATTCTAAATTTTAAACTTACTTCATTTAGAGCATTAATATTAAAAACGTCCTGCCATTATTTCTTGTTTAAAATAATCTATCTTATATGAAAGGTTTCAGCTTTCTACAGACTATTTAGTTGTTTTGGCATAGCACAATCACAATACACAACAATAATTAGCTTTTAACGCTACAAATCTAATATAACAATAAAACACTGAAAACTTTGTTTTCAAACTTCCACAAAAATTTATTTTAACGCTTATCACTACAGCTGTTTCGGCAACAATGGAAATCAACAAATTAAAAAACACAGATATAATTCTGAATGTCCAACTTGAGACAAACAGTTCTCCCCTCCTCAACCTATTTCATTAGAGACTATAAAGTGTAAACGCATGCCAAGAATAGATCACTTGAGAAAGGCAATCAGCCGAAACAGCTGTAGTGATAAGAGTTAAAATAAATTTTTGTGAAAGTTTGAAAACAAAGTTTTCAGTGTTTTATTGTTACATAAAATGAATTTTCATCAAGTAACGGTCGAATCCATCAATTATTACTACAAATCTAAATTTAACATGGATTTATAAATACAATTTATTAATATATAATATATTATGATCCAATTGTGTGAGAAATCAAAACATAAAAAAAATTCTTACTCTAAAAAAGCGGCAACACTTTAAACAATTTTGCCACATGCTAAAGTGTCATTAAAATTTGAAGTATCCCCTATCAGTTGCGTACAATTGTCTAATTTATGTAATTAAAATTATTATTTTGTGTAATATTAGACTTAACGAGTTATTTCATTAAACTTATATTAATAATAACAAATGTTTTTGGTTATTTTATCAATATAATTCTAAAATTTCCAATATAATTATAATTACATTTTTTTGATTATTATACCATATTGACGCCTATGAAAGATCGAGCAGTTCCGTATGAGTTTCGTATTATGAGCTATGTTGGGAAAATTTTGAACTCTAAGGTTTACCATTCTGGAAATTTTAAATATAAGTGACGTCACTGTATATAAATTGTGACGTGCAACGTTTTTTACTTTGAAAAATGGTATATTGTTGCCTCTTAACCAAATTAACAGATAGCTGAGTGAATTACATGTCAATTTGGACAAGCGCCAACAATATACAATAAACAAGTGTATGAAATATAGTCTATACAAAATGATTTCGGGAGTTGAAGCCGAATCGAAAAAATAAATATAAAATGTAATTTTTATTACAATCAATTATGGACTAATCCTATATAAACATAATATCTATTTATCTTAAATATGCCACAAGAAAACAGCTTTAGAGCATTTTTGATTTTAATTTTTTATAAGTAGTATTTGAATATGTGTGTAGATTTGACATAAAGATAACAGTATACTAGTTTTAACTTTTATTTTTTTGCAACATTTTAAAACCATAAACCTTCTTTTCAATGGTTACGATCTAAAGATTACTATCGATTATTATCGTATATTATTTTTATTAAAATGGCCAATAGGTAGGTGCCATGACCATTATAAAAGTAGATTTATTGTTGTAAAAATATTTAGAACTATATCCTAACCTTCACTATAAATATTTGTTTTTTTATATTGTATACTGTGTAGCTGTATTGAATCTTGTTAATATTAAATTATCATTTTGATAATTTGTTGTATTTAATTGTCTTATAACATCCATTTATTTCTAGGAATTATCATGGATAACTCAAGACGTTGGTCCCTATTTATAGATCCACAAGTCCAAGCCGCAAATTGGATTAAAAAAATGGAAAGGAAGAATAACTTGCAAGTTTTAAAGTTTTCCTTTCCAGATTACATGAAAAAAATAGAAACTAGCATTCAAAACGGATATCCTGTACTAATAGAAAGTATAGAAGAAATTCTGGAAGCCCCGTTAGACCCTCTTTTGTATAAACAAATGTTCAAGCAAGCGGGAGTTTGGGTAATCGCGCTTGGTGAAAACGTCATTGAGTACAATAGCAATTTTAAACTGTATCTTACATCAAAATTAAGAAATCCTCATTACCTTCCGGAAGTTTTTAATAAAGTAACAATTATTAATTTTGCTCTTACTCTGGAGGGACTACAAGACCAATTGCTAGGTAAATGTCTATTAAAAGTTTCAAGAGCATCACCAAAGTTTCATGTATCAATTTTCAAAATAGTTAATAAGTTAGTTGTTTTATTTGTTTTTAAACTCATTGCACAAATCTGGAGTGATTCTCATATAATACAAGCCCGTGGGACATTTTTAAAGGGTCATTTGACCCAGCATGAATTACATATAAACTAATACTTTAATATGTAATAACAACTTTAGAAATTATGCCGCCAATTCTGATCGGTACACAAAGCATAAGGGGTTCAAATTAAGGAATTTGCGCCTTGGATTTTTTACCCCTGTCCCAGCCAAAATGTACGACATTGCAAAAAATGGTCTATTATCGATTCGAAACTTGTATGAATGCCGTACTGTATCAAATTACCAAAAATGTGTAAAAAGTTTTCCGAAAATAAAAAAAGTTCATTTCGCCTGATACCATTATTTTTGTACCGCGTTATGTCGCAGGTCAATATTTTTGTATTATCTACCTAAGTGTACACCTACATTGGAACCGTATTTCTCCCGATCCGATATCGGGCGACGTCGGATTGAAAACAACTCAAGGTATTAAATCACAGTGCTATACTGCTTCGTCACGGAAGCAGTATAGGCACTATCAGGGGGGTTTAACTTCAATCCGTAAAATGTAATCATTGAATTAGTTACAGAACACACCACCAAGCGCTATTATCGGTAGATTCTGTAGATCACAAAACATTATTAATGTTTTGTGCTAAAATAGCGATGTCCTTCATAACTGGCGTCTGTCGAATGTTATTGTCATAATTCTCGAATGTCGAATATTAATTGATGTTGATGTAAGTATTAATTCAATATTTGTTTTTTGTGTTTTAGTTAAAAGTGCTGTTAGATCAATGAATATCGTATTTAGGATTAGAATATTAATTGTTTAGTTAAGGCGTGGTATAAGGATATTTGTTTTTTTTTTAAGTTAAGTTAGAAGTTAGTACAGGCTTCTATGATTCCTACTCTCATAGCATATTAATTTAATATTATGTATTAATTACTACATGTTTTGAGTTTGATTAAATGAAAATTATTGGTCTAATTTAATGTCTCTGAAAACTTTCAGAACTAATTTGTCACATTTATTCGAATATATAAACAGGATGAGAGTTCTCTCAATATTACCAACTTTACAATATTACCAACTACACAAGGCGTTTGTCAATTAGCAAGCTCTCCAACATGATAAAAATATTGATTAGTACCAGAACACTCCAACGTGGCGCTGATGATCACAACATTTTTTTGTACAGAAGTTGGTTATCTATCCCTCCTCTAATCTATGGGCACTATGATTTAATACATTGAGTTTGTTTCCAATCCGACGTCGCCCGATATCGGATCGGGAGAAATACGGTTCCAATGTAGGTGTACACTTAGTTTAGAAATGCCGTACAAAAATGTTTGACCAAAAAAACTTTCCCCTCGAGTGGTAAGTTTATCTTACCTGTGACTCACATATACCGATAAGTATTGACGGCATAGTTTCTAACTTTATAATTAAATATTTTAATATTATTTTATATGTGATTCATGCTGGGTCATAGACCCATTAAAAATCTCCCATGGGCTTGTAGACTATAAGCTATAATATTTAGACATATAGAAGTTATTTATATTATTAGCATGTTATACAGATATATCAACAGAAAGTTATAGAAGAAAATGACAGATTTATTCTACAGAAGTTGCAACTTAAATAAGTTGATATAAGGTTGAATGCTCGAATACATGAACTTTGATCAAATAAAAGGCAGATATCGAGCACAATTTTATTAATTAAATCTTGCCCAAGTACTTTCGCTTCCTAGAGCATCTTCAGAGGCATTTCGTCAATTGACTGAAGATTTAATTATTAAAAGTGGGCTGTATATCTGCCTTTTATTTGATCAAAGTTCACTTAAATAAGTAGTTAAGTATCAACATTTTAGGTAGTCAAAAAATATATTAAATTAATCTTTACAAAAAAAAACTTGGTAAACTAACGAAACTGTTTTTAGTGGCAGACTTAAAATATATAAATAATAAAAACATAAAAGGAAACCAAGAACAAAAGAAAATAGAAATTATACTTATTGAGAATAAACCACAATTAATAATAATTTATATTTAAATATAATTGATAATATAGAAATTCCACGAGCAAACAGTTTTACAACCATACTGAATGTGGTATGGTCTAGAGTCCGGATTAAGAAAAAATACCAAAAGTAAAAAGTGTTTTTAAAAGTAAGAGTGTTTAAAACACATAAAGTATCACTTCAGAAAACAATAAAATATGCACAAAAGACATAAAACTTAAAAGAAAACTTTAAATAAAATCAATATGTATATTTTCCTTAGCAAAAACAAAAATAACAAATTCAACTATTGTAAAATTAATCAATAACTCATTGTTTGTTTAAATATTCCATTGTAAAATTTTGCTATATATATATTACTTAAAATGTTTTTATATGCTAAAAAACTCCTTTCTACATTCATACTGATTATGGGCGCATATTTAAATTTTGCAATCACATCTGGGTAATTTAATCCATAAATATAACATTTATATTTATATATTATATTTATATCATATTTCCATCGAGTTAGAATCTATGGAGAGGGCATCACGTGACTAAAAACGACCTTACTTCGGCCATATTGTTAATATTGGTTTGAAACTTTTGACAGATCATATATGTTTGTTTACATTTGTTGTTTTTCGAATATTTTCAGTTTTTTAATACTTTTATAGAAACTGTAATATATTGTGATAGTGCATAATCATGGTTTCTTGTTCTCAACGTAGTTGCAGTAACAGAAGCAATGTTAATAAAAAATCTTTAGGAATATCATTCCACAGGTTAATATACAAATGTGTAAACAAAGTAATGGCCCGTACTTCAGAGAATAAAGTAATAGTATTTGACTGTACTAATTTATCTTTATGTATAATATATCGTGTTTTTAGTGTTTACCGCGGGATATATAAACCATAGTTTATTAAAAATGTATTACACTTTTTTAGGTTATGATTAAATCTTCTGAATAACTAGTCATATTTGTATAGTAGTTTTAATATTATTGAGTCTGGCCTTGATGTTACCGCCATATTGGTATTATCGTTAGCCACGCCTACCTACGCCGTTTTTAATACATACGTTAATATGCTCATAGCTTCTCCATAGATTCTAACTCGATGCATATTTCCCTGCCAATACTAAAGCATTTTTTACTTATCACATTGTATCTAGAATAATATTTTCAACATCTAAAAACACTTTGATACATGCCTATTTTTTTATTTTTAGATTCTAGTTACAAGTTGCTGAGGCATAGTATTCAATATCAAATTTTTAATTTTTACACTATTAAATGGGAAAAAAAAGAGTAATTTTAAGTAAAACAATGACTAAGGACAAGTAGTTGACAAATAAATAACTTTTCAGTTTTCATCACAAACAATTTCTAATATCAATATAATCTATTCTTTTTATATAATCTAAACAATTTTTAGCTTTCTCCTTCTTAAACCTCAACTTAATTATTAAAAATAAGTTAAAGTTAGAGAAGTTTAGAAGTTTAGTTAGAAGAAGTTTAAAATAATATTAGCTTTTTTTACTTAATCTGTCATTTATTTGGGTTCTGTGACGTGTCTAAATATATGCAAGTTTTGTTTTAAAGTTATTTTCTTGTGACATTTTAGTATAATTTACTATTTTTTTTGTAACAATAAAACACTGAAACTTGTTTTTCAAACTTCCACAAAATTTATTTTAAATATTATCACTACAGCTGTTTTAATGACAAATTTAAAATTCTTCACATTCAAAATAAAGGCCTTAAGCTATCTTTGTTAGAATCTATGGAAATCAACACATTTAAAAACACAGATATAATTCTGAATGACCAACTTGAGACAAACAGTTTCTCCCCTCCTCAACCTATTTCATTAGAGACTATAAATTTGTAAACCCAAGCCAAAATAGATCACTTGAGAAAGGCAATCAGCCGAAACAGCTGTAGTGATAATATTTAAAATAAATTTTGTGGAAGTTTGAAAACAAAGTTTTCAGTGTTACATTGTTACATAAAATGAATTTCCATCAAGTAACGGTCGAATCCATCAATTATTTTTTTTGTGACTTTACTTTTGGTAACACAATTTATAGCCTCTATATAGATAGGTAGATTCAATGAGGCGGCTTTTAGCTCATTCCACTGCGACCATTTTAGGTATATTGTGGTCCTCTAATCTACTAGGTTAAATTCTTTAGTCTGACCCTTTTTAAAAGATTTAATAGCTTTGCGAGTTATCCGTCCATGTAGCTGTTTGTCGGTTGCTTGTCTTCCCTATGTCATCCCTTTTCCTTGGTCCTCTTAGAATTATTATCTCTGTCTGGTCTACTGCTAATTTTAAGTCGTTCTTCTCGATCCACGCCGCGGTCGTGTTTATTGCTTTATTTCCTTTTCTGTTATGTCCCAATTCATATCATTCTCAACCAATAGGGCTAGATCGTCTGCGTATGCTATTACTTTGACTCCTTGTCTCTGCTTGTGAATTTCTAGTACCCCATTGTATAACATGTTTCCAGAGTAAGGGTCCCAGGACTGACCCCTGGGGTACGCCCGCGGTCATTTTTTCTTTTTCTTCTTGGATATGCATACGGATCGTTCAGAAAAATAAGTCCTTTATTATATTGGACATATATTCCGTAAACACGCTTTCGACTATTTGGTCTACTATGAGGCCCCAGTTTTCTGAACTAAAGGCATTTTTTATGTCCAACAGAACAAGAACTACCCATCTTTTCTTGCTTGATTTGGCCGCGTTCCTTATCCAGGTCACGGCGTCGATTGTCGATTTGCCTTTCCTAAATCCGTACTGTTGGTTGGATAAGACTCTCTCATCTTCTAACATACCTTCCAGTCTCTTCTTGATAAGTCTTTCCTAGAACTTACCAAGGCAGTCCAGAAGGCATATTG